AGACGTGAGACGCGACAGAAGACGTGAGACGCGACAGAAGACGTGAGACGCGACAGAAGACGTGAGACGCGACAGAAGACGTGAGACGCGACAGAAGACGTGAGACGCGACAGAAGACGTGAGACGCGACAGAAGACGTGAGACGCGACAGAAGACGTGAGACGCGACAGAAGACGTGAGACGCGACAGAAGACGTGAGACGCGACAGAAGACGTGAGACGCGACAGAAGACGCGAGGGTGAGGATGGTCCTTCTCAATCCCAGCCAGCTTGGTGAGCACCTAACCAATATGGACGTAGCATAAGGAACTGCACCACAAGGCATCAACCACCCATTGTTCTGGCCAAGACCAAACTGATACAACATAAACACAATATCCCCCGAGCTCCTAGAGGCAGAACGTTGCAGATCTTCGAATACAAATTTAGAACTTTGAAGCTGGGATGGGTTGTTAATATGCAAATTTTAATGTCTGACAGTGGTGATACTGGACTGGACTGGGATTCAGAGAATCACACTGGCCATGCCCCAGCCCCACCATATAATCAGCACATGTAACCATAAATACGAGCATGCTGGTGGCTTTAGTGTCCTAAACTTATACATATTGCCAGACATTTGTGGACACCTGACCATCATATATGAAGTTGTTGGCCATCGCATTCCCAAACCATGATCATTAATATGAAGGATTAGGGGCAGTAACAGCGTCTATTCGTCTGGGAACTTAATCCTCCTGTCCCATCGCACTCCTGACCTGACAAAAACCCAAATCCAACTGGGTGGGTGCGGTGGTGACAACAGATGCCTCCGTGAAATGTAGATAGATGAAAGTAGTCACTCGCACTCCATGATAAAAAGTCAATGCTGTTTATTGACTGAGATAACACACATCTCCTTAGCGACGTTTCGAGACCATGCGGCCCCATCCTCAGGCAAACAGAGTGTTTGTCTGTTTGCCTGAGGACGGGGCCGCATGATCTCGAAACGTCGCTAAGGAGATGTGTGTTATCTCAGTCAATAAACAGCATTGACCTTAATATCATGGAGTGCGAGTGACTACTTTCATCTATCCCTATTCTTCTGGGAAGACTTTCCACAAGATGTTGGAGTGTGTCGGGGGGACTTTGTGAGGTCACGTACTGATATTGGATGAGAGGATCTAGCTCACAATCGGCATTCCAATTCATCCCAAATGTGTTCAGTAGGGTTGGGGTCAGGGTTCTGTGCAGGACACTCAAGTTCCTCCACATCAAGCCGGTTATTTCCATACATTTATGGAGTGGTCTTTTCACACTGGGACAGAAAAGGGTCTTCACCAAACTGTTACCACAGGGTTGGAAGTACACAATTGTCTAAATGGTCTTTGTATGCTGTAGCATTAAAAGGAGAACTATGGGGTCAGGGCTTTCCCCATAGTTCTCCTAAGGGTCACGAGAGGACACAAACTAGCGTCCTCCCGTCACCCTAGGCTCAGTATACCGGTATACTGAGACGCTGCAGCCGGGACGGATCCCGACATAACTGTCTGGACCCGCCCAGCTGCGTGATTGACAGCTGGCTCTGCCTATCTAGAGGCAGAGCCAGCTGTGCCCGCCCCCTCCCCCGTTCGTTCCGCCTGTCAGCGCTGGAGGATCGGACAGGGGAATCCCTGCAGGGAGCCGCGAGTGACAGTCACGGCACTCTGCAGGGATACATCGAGAAGTGAGCGAGCGCCGGTATGTGTTCGCTCACTTCCCTTTCTATTGAGCCGACGTGTGACAGTTTCATTGTCACAGGTCGGCTCGAACTATGAGGCTGAGTGATTTTCACTCGCCTCCATAGTTCTCCTTTAACAGGACTCTTCACTGGAAACACCTGAACATCAGCATTGGAGGGGGGGCCTCATACAAGCAGGACGGAGAAGAGTTTCAGCAACCAAACACCTTTGTCCATTACAAAATGAAAAGGGCCAACTTATCCGAAACTGGAGCCAGCTCAATACATGACAGGAATACGGACTGCACAGGATCACAACTCCTTCAGCCAGTACATCATATATCATCATCATTATTATTATACAGGATTTATAGTTTGCGCAGCGCTTTACAATACAAGGAAGACAAGATGGTAAGGAGGGCCCTGCCCCTGAGGGCTTACAATCTAAAAGGGAGGGGCCAGTGATACATGAGGAGGGAGCTGTGTGGGGATGAATTGTTTAAGAAAGAGTTCAGTGGTTAGTTTGACGTGCGATAGGCTTCCCTGAATGTATTACAACTTTGCATTTAACCCCTTAAGGACCAAACTTCAGATGCTTGTCTTTCAGTTAAGGACCAAAGAAATTTTTGCTGTGTGTGTTCAACCGCAATTTCCATCTTTCCCATTTATTGCACCAACACATATTATATACCGTTGTGTAAAGTACAAAAAGGGCTTTAATTTGATGTGACATATGTATATAAAAGTTCTCATATAGTGCATGGGAGAAGCTTAAATCCTTAAGGACCCATGGTGGAATTATTCCTTCATGGGTCCTTATGGCACGGACAACCATGACGAAATAATCCCGCCATTGGTCCTTAAAAGGAGAACTATGTGGTCAGTGCCTTTCCCCATAGTTCTCCTAAGGGTAACGGGAGGACACAAACTAGCGTCCTCCCGTCACCCAAAGCTCAGTATACCGCGAGCTACCGACAATTCTGTCTGGATCCGCCCAGCTGCGTGAGTGACAGCTGACTCTGCCTATCTAGAGGCAGAGCCAGCTGTACCCGCCCCCTCCCCCATCCGTTCCACCAGTCAGCGCTGTAGATTTCGGACAGGGGAGGAATCCCTGCAGGGAGCCATGAGTGACAGTCACGGCTCTCTGCAGGGAGATGATCGAGAAGTGAGCGAGCGACGGTATGTGTTCGCTCACGTCCCGATCTACTGAGCCGACCTGTGACAGTCTCATTGTCACAGGTCGGCTCAGATTATGAAATATGTGAAAATCGCTCGTCTCATAATTCTCCTTTAAGGGGTTAACATTATACAGCTCAACTTGAAGAACAGGATCAGCGATTCCTCTATGAGGACCGTGTTCTCTCCTGCCGGTGAAAAGAGTTCCATCGTTCCAATGTTATGTCGCTCATTGAGGAAAGACAAAGCATACCTTAAAGCTGTAGCCCTGATCCACCAGGAATCTCTGCCTTTTGGTGGAGTACGCCATTTCCTGCGTATCCTGAGACACCAGAGAATAGAAGAATGCATTTGGCTTTTTAGAAAATGTGAACAAATGTAAAACCTGGGGGCCCCCCATCCCCACATGTGAGCACACAATGAACTGCCACAACATGAATGGCAAGGGTCAAGTACTTTCCGCAGTATATAAGTAGACTGAAGTACCCTAAAATGGTCCTCTCCCCCCCCCCAACCCCCGGCTGTGAATATTCCCATGCTGGGACCAGCTGCAGCTGGCTTTCATGCAGTAACAGCAATTCCTGCCGCCCCGATCATAACAAGACATCCCTGCAGATTACAGGCCGGTCCCGCCTTCACTTCAGCTGCAAACACATCCCCGATCGTCTCCTCATGAACTCCTTTCTCTTTTGTTCTCTTTAAAGGAGAACTATGGGGTCAGGGCTTTTCCCCATAGTTCTCCTAAGGGTCACGGGAGGACACAAACTAGCGTCCTCCCGTCACCCTAGGCTCAGTATACCGCGAGCTACAGCTCTCTATATACTGAGACGCCGCAGCTGAAGCGGATCCCGACAATTGTGCCGGGATCCGCCCAGCTGCGTGAGTGACAGCTGGCTCTGCCTATCTAGAGGCAGAGCCAGCTGTACCCGCCCCCTCCCCCGTTCGTTCCGCCAGTCAGCGCTGGAGGATCGGAGCGAGGAGGGGGGAATCCAGCCCCTCCCCTGTCACGGCAGAGAGCTTTAGGCCTTTAGATCTCGTTCACACCTAGGCGTATTGCATATGCGCGACCGTCGCGCGGTTTTTTTTACCGCGATTCGCGGTAAAAAAGTCGCGCGTTTCCGAAGGCTACTTGGCTGTATCTCAATGGAAACGCGCAACAAAACGGCCCAAAGTAGTACATGTACCTTTTCAGGCGAGGGCCGTTTTGTAGCGCGTTAGGGACGGGCGGGATTTATATTTTTGAGCGTTTTGTAGAGCGTTCGTCGAGCGTAGAACGCGCTACAAAACGTTCAGGTGTGAACGAGGGCTACAATCTCAATTCCAAGGTGCCTCCCCTAAACCCTCCCCTCCACCACATACATACATTCCTTTCCTTATGGGCCTTTGGTCCGTGTTATAGATACAGGCCCCATGCCATTTTGCTTGGCACAATTTCTACTGTGAGCCCAGAGCAGCTTGATAATGTACCCCGAGGGGGCATGTCCTTGACAGCCTGGGCCCAACAGGAAATGGGTTGGATGTCATTGTCATTCAGCCCGGGACCAGTACTGGGCCTCAGTGCACAGAGTCTTTGCATGACAGTGTCTGTGGTGGATCGGGGGGCGGGGGAAGTATCAAAGCGGTATTTTTTTAATTCTCTTTAAAGCAACAATAAACAGGAGTGTCAGATGTGTGATCCCCGCTGTGCTCAGCGCTTTCTCCCGCCAGCCTTAAAGTGATATTAAAGCATCAATTTTTTTTTTTACATTGCCTTTAAGTGGACCCTCCTTTGCTGGAGGCTGTTGCCGTTTCATTCCCCGTTTTCTAGTGGGTCCCCGCAGCGCTATTTCACCCCCCCCCCGGGTGCCACCATCGTTCTAATGGAGGCATCCGTGGCCGCAGTGGCTGTGTGCGTCCATAGACACACACATAGCCCTGTCCCTCTTTGATTGATGGCTCCTCTGCCATCAGTACCCCCCCCCCAACCAGGAAGTTCGGGGAACGGAGGATCGCTTCGGGACCGGCAGCAGGGACGAGCGTCACTGATAGGCGAGTGTGGGAGGGGGTGGGGGCTGAGGGAGAATAAAGGTGCTGGCCCGTTTTTACCCTAATGCAGAGAATGCATTGCAACGGGGAAAGGGGGAACCAAGAAATTGATACAAAATGTCGTTTTCCCTTTACTCCAGGAAACGGCAGCAGTAGCAGGAGAGGGAAGTATTATAGATGGTTGCTGCAGGGAGGACTGGAAGGCCTGCTTCTGGGACTTGTAGTTCCCCAAATAGGAGCAGCGTGCAACCTTTTAGTATTTTTAACAAGTGAAACATTTGCTCAGAATACCATAAAAGCTTTTACGCATTAATTTCCAGGACTGCATGAATCAGACGGTACGGTAGACAGCCGCGTAGGAGTTAATTTTGCTGCAGATGAGGCCCAAGGGGGCCAGCGGTGATTAAAGTTCACCCCCCCCACCCCCATACACAGCGTTCCCGTTGCCACCGCAGGGTGACTCACTGGTCATGTTCCAGGGCGTGAGAAACCTTCAAGCCAATTAGCTGCTCTTAATAGGTGATGGAAGTTCAGGCGCTGGCTGCATCGGTGGGAAGGTGGAAGTGTCGGGACTTGTAACCTGCACACAACAAACAGCCTCCATCCACATGCGGGGAGCCCTGGGCTAGAGCGGGAATTCGGGGGGGATGTAATGTTGGATAACATTTAACAAGTGTGCCAAATTCATGCAAACCCCATCCTGGCTCTACTGGGTAAGAGGGAACTTGGTATATACATACAGCACTGAGACCCTCAGACTGATTCCCCCCCGCCCCCCAGTATACAGTCCGCTGCAGGCAGGGGGAAGCATTTCCTAAGCCTCCCCTCCCCCAGTAATCAGTCAGATGCAGGCAGGAGGAAGCATTTCCCATGTCCCCCCCCTCCCCCAGTATTCAGTCTGCTGCATGCAGGAGGAAGCGTTTCTTCAGTCTCCCCCTCCCCCAGTGATCAGATTGCAACATTGTAGTAATTTACAAGGCGAGAGGCTGCAGCATGGGGCTGATCCGTGTCAGAAATCTGTCCACACAGCCAAGAACTGCACAGACACCGGGATTTACATCTCTGAGCCAGCACCTCAGTCCAGGAAGTAGAGGGCGACCCTGGAAGATGCCTGAACAAAGATGGCGCCATATGTCTGGAGAGAAGGGCAAGTGACGGCATTGTTAGGGGGAGCGCGGTGAACTGTGTGAGAGGCAAGACACACCTGGAAGTGTTACACGGACATTGCTTAGCATTCTGCACTTAACGCGGAGCTTGGCTTACTTTGCCCTGATCCCTTGCTGGCGCCAACATGCTTCAACCAACTTGATTGGCAGGGCCAGAATGACGTTAAGGGTTCGTTCACACCATAGCGCAGTGCGTCCCGGTCAGAATCGGACCAGAACGCACTGCCCGCATTGCGGCCGGCTCACTTTTTTTGCCGGGCCCGCGGGGGCGTGACGGGCCATTGAAGTGAATGGCACCGTAGCCACGCCCTGCGGCCGCAATGGGATCGCAAAGGGACATTGTGTCTGCAGTGCAGTCCGGTGCGCTCAAAATAGTGCTTGCAGCATTTTGATCGCACCGCACTGCAGGCACAATGTGCCTTGTGATCCCGTGCGGGAGATCGCATTGCGGCCGCAGGACGTGGCTACCGTGCCATTCACTTCAATGGCCCGCCACGCCCCCTCCAGCCCGGCGAAAAAGTGAGCCGGCCGCAATGCGGGCAGTGCGTTCCGGTATGATTCTGACTGGGACGCACTGCCCTATGGTGTGAACGAACCCTAACTCACACGCATGCACATGGGAGTACATTAATCGCGGCACGCTGAACACGTGCACAGCCCGGCATACAGCCCAATAGTGAGCAGGCAGGTAGATTCGTTGTATTGCAGTGGAGACATAACACACGACAACGTGCCCCCTCTGTCTGCTCACAATGGTTTTAGTTCCACATGATCACATACAGTATATATACGATGGGAGGTCCGCTATAAGGAAAAAGGAACTTTAGGTTGTACCTTTTTTCGCTCTCAGAACACGTCCCAGACGCTGCGCTTCCTGTCTTCGGGACCCTCCGTGAGAGGAGATCTGGATCAGAACGTTGGCTTCAGGTAAATCGAAGGACGTGTCTCCAACCTGGGGAACAGAACGGAGTGTACAGGAATCTCCAAAGCCCAGGAAGAGGAGGAGGATTGCTCCTGTCGCCATCTATGTACACCAGGGGTCGGCAACTCCGGGGGGGAAGAGGGCAGATTGGTGGGGTAATTCCATTTTCCCAAATTCACCTGGGAAAGTGGAATTACCCTTTAAAAAAGGAGAACTATGAGGTGAGTGCTTTTCACTCACCTCATAGTTCTAGCCGACCTGTGACAATGAGACTGTCACAGGTCGGCTTAGTAGATCGGGAAGTGAGCGAACACATACCGGCGTTCGCTCACCTCTCGATCCTATCACCGCTCTCTGCCGTGACAGGGGAGGGGCTGGATTCCCCCCTCCCCGCTCCGATCCACCAGCGCTGACCGGAGGAACGCACAAGGGAGGGGGCGGGTACAGCTGGCTCTGACTCTAGATAGGCAGAGCCAGCTGTCATTCACGCAGCTGGGTGGATCCAGACAATTGTGGGGATCCGCTGCGGCGTCTCAGTATATAGGGAGCTGTAGCTCGCGGTATACTGAGCCTAGGGTGACGGGAGGACGCTAGTTGTGTCCTCCCGTTACCCTAAGGGGAACTATGGGGGAAAACACTGACCCCATAGTTCTCCTTTAAAGAGGAAACTTTACCCACATCTTTGAATTGACAACAAACACACCTTTAGAAACGTTGAGTAATGACAATCTACAATCGCATACTTCTATATAATTGCCGGCTTTGTATTCTTTGCATTCCTTATTTCTCTTTCAGCCGCTCGGATCAAGTCCTTTGTAACAAGCTATAGGTCTTAACCCGGACCTTTACCCCCTTTCACAAATAAATCACATCAGCCAGCAGCTCTGCATGCTGATTTGAAATCCTCTTACATTCGTTTGTTAATCGAACATATATTTTTCTTACAATTATTGCTTTTCCACTTCCTGGTCCTCTTGGGCATTAGTGATGTAATGTGCCCAAGCGTTGCATCCTGGGAAGGTGACATCAGCAGAGCATTGCTGGGAAATCTCATCTGTAATCTCACAAGGTCTCAGGGAAAAGGCATTTTCCTCCCCTGAGATGATGTGCATGGTCACATGTCCTACTCACATGTGCCAGAGTTCCAGGAAGTAAAGGGAGATCTAGTAACCTGCCCTTAGTAAACATGCGAGAAGAATGGGGAGGAAAATGCGTCACCCAGAGAAATTAGTTCTTTATACATGCCATGCATTGTTTGTAAACGGATTATAAGAAAGGATTTTGTTTTATATTTCAGCTGCGTTGATCAACTTGTGCTACAAACGCGACAACGTGGAGGAGCCCACGAGTTCTGCACCCTGGATCTATCTCCAATAAGAGCCTATGGAAAGTGGACTGGACTATACAGGAGGGGGCGGACCGGAGACTGGACCGGAGACTGGGCCGGAGGGCGGGCCGG